TTTTAAAGCACTCAGTAATAAGTAATTGAAACTAATATTTTTTTTATAAAACTTTTGAAAATGTTCAAAGGAAAGCGAAATTTAAAAACTTAATAATTATCATAACAAAATAATTACTAAAAGTTAGTAACTATGTTTAAACTAAATTTGAATACTGTGACTTTTGGCGGACATTTCAAAAACCAATTTCTTTCGATATACTCGTAGATCAGTACTAGCCACTTTTCATAAAGCTCTTCAGCTCTACTTCTTATGTAGTGAGTTTTAAGTAAAATATTGAGAGAAAAGTTTTGAGAATACTTTAACCAGCGTAGTAAGCAAACATCACCAAGTATTATTCTTTCGTTCTTCTGGCTTTAAAGCATATCCATTTAAACTAGTTGCTCGTGACCTCTCCGACTTAAATCGTTTTTATGATCGTCTATTAGTTTAGCGAATAAATTTCTAACTCCGAGGTGACCGCAAGATATCGCCGGTGCTGCTAATACAGCGTGCAGGTAATTTGGCGCCATCGGATTTTTTATGGTGCATCGTTATATGGCGTCTCACTTGTTGGAACAAGAAATTCATACATTTCTTATATTGGCGGTCACACGCCTCTCTAAACCATTTCGAAATTACATTTCTGAACCCATTTTGATTTAATYGTACAGAAAACTGGTGAAAGAATGGGTAGGGATCAATTTCTCTTCAATCGCGTACGTACTTTTCAGTCCAAGAAAATAAKAACTACAAATGTAACGGGTTTTTCAATAGGAGCGCCACAATATAAAATGAAATTATTTATTCATCCGAATGTAGATTCGATGATCCTCGATTTCCTTTGCATGGCCACTACGAGCATTCTTGCAGGAATATAGACGCTAAATTCAATTTTCGACGGTTTTCTTACATAAATAYTACAATTTCACATTCGATATTCGTACGAAGTTCATTGCTTGTTGGCATATACCATAGATTTGACGTAGCCCCACAGGAAATAGGTAGTCAATTGACTGGGTAATTTCGTGAGATAACACGTTCATCAAAGTAAGCTTTCAATAAATAGATTATGACGTTCGCTGTCTGATATTCGCCGACAGCGAAACCACATATTCTCCAAGTCCATATCATCCGATTCGGGCCAAAAATATTCGGTTATCTTTGAGCTTAAGCGAGTCCCATTCACAGTTTACGTGCCAGTCTTGATMATCACGGAAGAAGTACGGCAAAATGACTCCTCCGGCCCATAAACCGCACCTAAGCGTAATTTTTTCGGTATGCAATGGTGACTCATGGAGTGCATATGGATTGCTGTCTGACCAATAGCACATATTTTCTTTATTGACGAAGCCAGAAATAAGCCTCGCTGAAGATGATTTTTTGCTGAAAATCCGGATCATTTTCAAGTTGTTGCCCAGCTCAATTCACGARCATTCGATGATTCTGGTGGTCAAGTGGCCTCAGTTCTTGCGTTAATTTGATCTTGTATTTGATTTGTAAGAATGTAGGACAAGATTKTTTTTATGTACTCTGTCTGTGGATTCAAATTTTCTCACAAGACGCTTAATTGTGACAGGACGATTATGAYGACCATGAATTGGACATAGCGCTCTTAAAGTTAAGATCACTGCCTCCGAATTTMGGTAGTAAATTTTAATAAYTTTGATTCGTTGTTGGGTCGTATAACTTTCCATAATGAAATGMCAATCCTTACTGAAGAGAAATATCAAAATAGCGGGAAAAAAATGGCGTCGTTTGCTGTCTCTATCGGTGTAYTTTTGTAGCGTCCCTTTTGAAAAMSCCGTTATATCGAATAGAGGAAYATAGATTTMCCTSATTGTATGTCTCTAGTCGTGTGCCTTATGGAAMAAGTTTAATAGTTCATGACTGGATTCTCACGATATATATAGCTTTAGTGGTTAATGTATTAATTTGCTCAACTTTCCTTAGAGCTAACTTAGCGGTATTCGTTTAAATTGCAAGTTTTATCAAATTAGGTTTAGTTAGTGCTTCTAAAAAATACAATTTCAGGACACTTTCAAGAAGACTTCAAATTTAAATCTGATCATATTCAAATTTATTATATTATTAAGAATTTAAAAATCTCGCACTCGCTTAGAATAAACAAGCAAATCAAATAATCTACTTTTGTATCTTGCAATCGGCTTGAAACACATTTAATTATTTGTACAGACACCTACACTCCCAAACTTAACAAAGCAGTTTATGATGAACGCAGACACACACATATACCCAACCAATTTTCTTTCGAATAAGTTACTTTAAACCAAACATTTTTTTGAACTTTTCCTTTTATATCAAAWCTAGATACTCTGCACATAAACGTAAATTGCTTTTTCTTTTTGTTAGCTCGTCAATGTTCTAATTGCTGATGAGCAGTGCATGGACTGGCACAAACTCGAAACCAAAAAATAAAGAATACTCATAAACATAGACGTACATAATTATGTAATAAGCAAAAATATTATGCATATCTGGTAATAATATAATTACACATACYTATGTATACCGTTATGTAATTACAAATGCAAGTATGAGCCCCTTATAGTGTATGTTATGCTGCCACTTATATAATTGCCCCAAATTTATAGTTAATTGATTGATTTATAATACCAAATGTAGTTTATATATTTGTATATTTGGACTTGCAATGTTACTGCTTAGGTATTTGTATTACATATATAAGTAATAATTGGTATGTGTTATGAGAATTACACAGTAAACAATRCATACAAACATTTTGAAGAAAATAMGTATTTGACATAGTGAATATTGAGCAGAATTTCAGGTAGAGATTCGATAAAGTTTACGAACGTGCAATTTTATGTCTAATTACATGCATTACAAGTACTCGAAAGCATTAGAAAATGTATTGCAGGCGATAAATATATGTTGAAAGTAAAATTTATACTCATATCAKCACAGAAGCGCACATATGTTTCCCTACTTAAAACTGTTTAAATTGCACGTTGCTCGATTTTTTATCAAATCTCGCACAAAATATTCCAAAAAAATATAAATTAACTTATCAAACAACTTTATAAAACACTCACGCACACTTGCAGGTCTAAATAATATGGTAAATACAATAATATATAGATAAACAGTAAGTTATGCGTTTTTTATGTATTTTCGGTAAAAATTAGGTATCATTCGCCAAAGGCATTGTGTGTAAACATAAACACCACCGCAATACGTTGGAAAGAGTATATAAAACTATATATATATATGTATATACAAATGTTTCTACAGAGWTACACTTATTAAAAAGCAAATGTAAATACGTTCTTGTAGTATTTCACAATATAGTACACACCTTTCTAAATATATATAAGTATATATAATCAGTTGCGTTTAGAGCATAGACAAAGAGTTCGTAGGTGCGTATACGTAACATTCTTACCACTAACTTATACATACTGTATTGTACGGCTGTTCAACCTGATTTGATGAAATGATAGTAGGCACAACCAACACAACTGTAAATATGTATTAGTTAGACAAGTAGCTGTGATAATAATAAGAAATGCGTTGCGTTCTTTTGCCGATTCTTAAGTATGCAATAGTATTGTTGATGAAAAGAGTATGGAAAA